TATTTTGAAATGTGCAATGTGCGTCTATGCATGTACCAAAAACAAAGCATTGCAAAAACAGCATTGCAACAACAGCATTGCAAAAAATTTTTTTTCTTTGATATTAAAAAAAAAAAAAAAATTGAGTTTTTTTATCCTTACTTTACTGAGTTTTTTTTTTTAATTGATTTATCCGAACGTTCTTAGTTTGTACATTCTTATGTTTTCACTGCTATAGAAAAATAGCATAAATGTTTATTTTTTCATTTTTCTGATTATTTACTTTAATGTAAAAAATTATATATAATTTAATTCTTAAATACCTTTTTTTTAATTCACAAATTTCGTCATTTATTGGAAATGCACATGGAAAAAAAGGTAAGTTCCCCCCCCTACTCCCTCCACAACCACTACCCGCAGATCAATGGGCAAAAATAGATTTTTTTAATTCATATTTTATTTGTCTCTAGGATCATAATCTGTTTCTAGAGTATTTTAGTTAAAACATCATAAAAATCATATCGCTTGCATCAAAGTGTTAAATATTCGGAGTTCTGAAAAAACCTCCCTTTATTCTCCAAAACTCAACTTTTTGGAAATTCAACAGTCTCTCAGTCCACATTCTGTCAAGTTTGCAGGATTGTACTGTATTTTTATCATATTTAAAAGTGCTTTGTTATAAAAGCTTTTCTTCCCTAGTAAGGATTTTCTCAGTATGAAGTGCAAGATAAGTACGAAATGAAATTGGACAGAAACCATAAAATTTAGAATATCTAATTAAATGTAATATAAATTCTTCAGCAATCTGAATGCTGCATTATAAAGTGAATTTAAGCCAATTAGGAATTTCTTTGAAATGCATAGCATGAAAATCTTACGGAAACTAATCTTTTTGGGTGGTAATCTCCCAGTATTTCATATTTTATGTCTTCAAATGAAGAACACAATGGATCCGGAGGACTGGAGTTCAGAACCAAGTTCTACTATACATTCAATTTAAAATTTTATTCTATGAGCTTGGTAATGCAGTCTGACTGACTGCAGCACTTCTATTTCCTTTTTGACCATACATACCTTTTGTAACTTTACTTTAGTTTATGTTGCTGAAGCGCAAGTTCTGTGTTTTTTACAATATATCTGCATGTGAATTATTAAATAAACCAGTCTTTAATAAATTTGTTTGTAAAACTAACTTTTCAGAGATAGTCATCTATTTTACCATTATAAACTATCAGCCCTTAGTGTCCATAAATGCTAATATCTATGGTATCTGTAGGTAAGCAATAAAAAATATTTTAAGTTTGTAAGGAAGTCTTGTATATGTTTATTGTTATCTCTTTTGAAGCAGTGATTAATAGATTTAGAACAGTTTAAAATATTAGCTTATTTTTTAACTTTATTTTTTAACTTTTTACCAAATGCTTTAAAATTAAACAAATCATTTCATATTTTACTGATAGACACACGAGCAAGAATTTTGAAATTGTAAGTGCTGTATTGCATTTATAATGATTTTAACTAAATGGAGCCTGCTGTCATGTGTCTCACAGTTTTGTTTAATTAGATATATTTGGCAGTGCACTTCAGGTGGATTATTTAATGTTTGAATTTAATAGTTAAAAATGCCTTGTTTCTTTGCATACCACCTATCTTTGTCCTACTTACCACCGGTTGAGGACTGCTAGCATGCAGAACAAACTGGTGGACAATTGCTAAGGTCAAATCACAAATGGCTATATAGCACATTAAAAAATAAGTGTGTTTGGATGCCAAGTGAAATAAAATAATGTCCGAATACCAGGACATAACAATAAAGGTAATTTATTGTGCTCTGAAATCTAGAAAGCTTTGAAAAATGCTCAAGAGACAAAATGTGCTGACTATGTAATATGCACTGGATATGTATAATATTGTCCTGAATACATAAAAGTGAAAAAAATGCAATTACTGTCTGCAGGCATTCTGGCATAAGATATTTCAAGATATGGCTACCATGGAGGGTGAAATAACATTCCACTTGTTGTGTCATACTTTGCGCACATATCCAACAGTTCTTGGGGTAATTTATCCCATTCCTTTGTCATTGCATGGATAAGCGTGTCCTTGTTTATTAGAGGGCATTTTCGACCAGTAGATTCCTCCCCGAAGTATCTGAACATTTTCAGTGGGATTCAGATCTGGAGATTGTGCTAGCTATTTGAGGCATTGAATATCCTTGCTCTCTAGATACTCTGGACAGCGACTGATCAATGACGTGTTGCAATGTCATCCATGAAAACAAATTGATTGTCAACAGCATCACAGAGCATGTCAACATGAGACAGCAGAACATCATTAATGTATCACTGCCGAGTCATAGTCCCAGTTGCAACTACATGTAGGGTTGTACGGCTGATTGATCAATGTGCCAGCCCATACCATGATATTGCATCTCGGATATCAGTCCTTTCCTGGATATTTTCTGGATGATCAGCAGTGCACAAGCCAAATTCTATAAAGTCCAATTATGATGCTCCCAGTACCATTGCAAATGGGCAGTATGTTGCTGTTTTGACAAACAGTAGTATAGTCCTTCTTGATGCAAATGTCTAGCGACATTTTTCAGGAGATTTGGTTGTCAGTAGCAGCAAGTAAGTGATTTGCTACTTTAATAGGTGTGCTGCGCTGGTTCTTTTTGTCGATAGCACTATGCACCTATAAGCATCGCACTGTGAACAAGACCTTTCCCTTGACGTTTGCTACACATTCCATTCGTTTGAAATTATTTCCAAAGCCTTGAAACAACACTGGCTGACGTCGAACTCCCTAGCAACATCTGTTATTTTTTGCCCTTCTTCAATATTGCCAGTAATACAATCATGTGAAAAATCATCTGAGTGATGTTGAGAAGACATACTGTAAATTGCAAGTTTTTCAATTGTTTCTTTCCTGTTAAATTTGGCTTTTGAATAACAAAGGTCACTATGCATCAAATTCTTCATCTCTTTTATCAGTGCATCACATGAGGAACAACTTCAGTAACCCAAAATTTGCATATGCACAACATGTCTTACTATATGCTGCACTTATGCTAACTTTCCCATTTTCTTATGACCCATTTTGTGGTTGCTGCTACTGTCATCTGTCCTTAGCAATTGACCACCAGTGTATTTGTAACTCTGTGCCAAAATTTACAACTTGAAGTATCAATAGAAAAGTCAGCAACAGTAATAATACCAAGACCAGATACCAGTCCATCAAGATTCCCATGTATTAAACTCCTCGATTAAAATGTTACAGTTTTGAAGCAACTAAAATATCTCGGTCTCACATGGGATCCAGCACTTACTGTATTTCCCATATTCAAGCTCTTTCACTCTAAACAAATGCAATAGTTCGTAAAATATGCCAGTTTCTAGGACCCAACTGGGGCCAAAATCTGTATATTCAAAAAATCAAGTCTACTGTATATTCACAAAATGAAATTTTGGAGAAACGAATTTGAAAATTATTTGGAATGAATTTGAAAAACAAAGACATTACTCATTTTGCTGTATGATATCTGAATTGATCCTCCTTCATAATGTGAGCAGAATGGCAGGTTGTTTGTTCAAGAATCTTTCAGTAGTTCTTAACAAGACGTTACCTTCAACAATATGACATACAGTCCAATACAATATGAACATCCTTTGAAGATTTTACAGACACATTCTGGACTAAAAGGATCAGCCATGCAGATCCTAATCAACAATATGCAAAGTAATTTTATTATGCAACAGATGCATATTAATTATAGTCACAGATGGCTTTAAATCTATTGAAGGATTTGGCAGCGCTTTTGTATGATTAGAGAGGGAGCGGGAACACCATACCTTGAAGGACTTCTCAAAGAACAGAATAGTGTTTTTCAAGCTGAAGCATTAGCTATTATACTATAGCCAGCCAATGTATAATTAAAATAGCATCAGGAAATGCAATTATCTACACCGAAAATATAATATGTCTATTTAACTCTGTATTATAAATCACAAACTACCTCCCTCTTAATTGCAAATATCCAACATCTCTTACAATACAATAATCAAGTCTATATATAACTTACTGGTTTAAAGTCCATGTAGGTCTTATAGGTAACAAAGCAGGGGGACAGACTAGTGCAAGAAGGAAGCGATAATTATATAACAGAGGAGCTAAATATCCCAGCAATTTCACTTAATTTTACATGAAAAGACACTGCAGCAGTGGCAGATAGAATGGGTTTTAGGAGAAATAGGAAGACACACATACAGTTTCATTTCTGAAGTCAGCACAAATAGACACATAGCTATCTCACAGCTGACTTATTACAGGCATGGCCAGCTGTTTATTACAGGCATGGCCTCTTTCCAACCTGTTTTCATCATTTTTGCATCTGAAATATAAGTACTGTAGATTAGATGGCTCTCCTAACCATTATGCCTTTTAGTGTTCACCTAAAGTTGCCTCACATTGACCTCAACCGACCTGCAGTTTAAACTCTTTTAAAGAATTTATTATCAAAACCGTGCATTAATTAAGAACATTTGCAATACAATCACCATTATTTTAGCTATAAAGCAAGGTAATTTGTCAAACAGAATGAAGACACCAATGAAGTTCAGAAGTGATAATTACAATAGAACAAGTGTTAAATAACTATTCAAAGACCTCCAAGAACTGATAAAAAATTTAAGTATTAAACATAGTAATTCAATTTTTACCTTAGTTTATAATGACGCACATTCACTTTAAACATAATTTTACTTTTAAATGTGTAAGTGAAAGATCATTTGCATTAAAAACTTTAAATACCTTTCTATTTAGTCTAGCACTTTACTTATTTTTTAATTTTAGTGTTCATAAATTTGTAGTTTGTGTATAGTTATTTTTGGTTTAATTTTAATATTAATTTTAGTTTAATTAGTATCATTTTAGATCTTATACTCTTAAAATTACATCTTTAGTTAGAAGATGCACTTAACTTCTGCAAGACCAAACTGTTCATTATGTACTAAGAAAAGATAGTCATCTCTAATCGATCATTTGAGTACTCCCACTCTTGTCTACCTCAGAATTATTTATGTTGTAATAAACTACTGATTGGAAGATGATGATAATTCCTGCTAATCTTTGGTAGCCAAGAGGAGTCTGCTCTCCGTCACCTGCCAATTGATGTATGGTTGAAATACTTTGTATTACTCATTTAACAATTAAATTTCCTTTGAAGTACTTTAGTAGACAGTATGAGTTTTCAACTTTTAGTATACTTTTCTTGATATATTTGCAACAATCAAAAAGAGTACAGTATTGCAGATTACATTATCTTGTTTTGACTTATTTGAAATCACAACTATATATTTTTCAGGATGACTGAATCGTCTTTTCAGTTGGAATTTTTATGGCTGCCATCATGTGAAGAACTACCTGATGTAAACAAATTATTTGAATTAAAACAAAGTGGAATAGAATTTAAACCAACTGGACCTTTATTAAACTTGAAGAAAGCATCTCTCGAACTTTTGTGATTCTCCTATGTTTATTAAAGATTTTGTCCCAAATACTGAACTTACAAAAGAAGATACAAACAATAAATCTTTGTACAAGTTTCAAAAGGAAAATGCTATGTTTCATCAAGAATATTTGTATAATATATATTGCAGAATTCAGATTGAAAGAGACATTAATACTGATTATAGTCGGTTAGTAAAACTCTTTAGTTCTTTTCGGAAAGGATATATTTTGGGATCAGAATTATGGTTGAAACATGAGTTAATGTATATGATTGACAGTAGTATAGAGACAGTCGATAAATATTTTATATTAGATAAATTTGAGCTTGGAAATTTTGTTGGATTGATGAATTTTGTATCTCGTTTTGATAGTGGAAGTACATTACAGCAGCACGGTTTTAAAGTAACCCAAATCAAAGTCAAGTTTCTACATGATTATAAAAGATTAGAACTTTACTTTGTTGTTGGTGAATCTCATTTGAAAGTTAAAAAGCGAAGTGCTAAATCTCATCGGTTATATAAATTAACAATCCATTACAATGCCTTTCATTCAGTAATAGTGTCAAGAAGAGATGGATTTGTAGCCTATTTCCGTATGTTGCAGGCTCCTCTAATCTATGCAGTTGAACAGGATGAGGAGGATGAAAGTTACATTTCATATCAAGATCTGCATTCTGGAACTGGATGGTTCCGTGCAGTTGATCTGTTCAAAAGATGTCCATCAAACATGAAGAAAGAATTTAGTATGAATACTGTTCTAGGCTTAAACTTTGCCACTGAAAATTACGATTTATTGGTGCAGCTAGTAAACCATAACAAAAATATGAAAGTTTATTTCGCTCCTGTAAATGTTGTGTCAAGTGAAAATTCAGTGCCTTTGTTTCACATAAATAATTTTGAATGTTTCTATGCATTCCAGTGCCTTTTATCTCGCAGCTTTGAAGCTGCAGATCAGTTAATATTACGAAAAGAACTAGATCAGTTTAAAAGTTTTGTACTGGAAAAAAGCGAAGAAAATTCAGAAGCATTATCTGAAGCACTTTATCAGTTATATTACTCATTTAATAAAGGAAATGTTGTAATATTAATGCATTCTCTTCCAATTTTGTATGACAAGTTTGTAAATCAAATTTCTCTAGTAACTACTCAAAATAAAGGAAACCTTATTAATACTGAAAATCAACAAAATAATTTGTTGTTAATAAAACGAGCTATATGTATGCCAACACACGTAATGTTTTTGCCTCCACAACCTACATTAAAAAGTCGTGCTTTACGGAGTTGTAATCCAGACTTCTCATTGCGAATTTCCATTAGGGATACCAATTTAGAGACAATAAATATGACATTGGCTCATGGTCCAGTTGCTAATAAAAAAGTGCAATTAAGGGAATTTTTCAAAGAACATTTTAAAACTCCTTTATTAAAAGGCATTAAAGTTGGTAAACGATGTTATAATTACGTTGGAAGTTCCACTAGTCAATTGAGAGCCCACGGTTTGTGGTTTTATGCTTGTGATAATGAGGGAAGAACAGCTGATAAAATTCGTAAGGAATTTGGTGATATAGATAAAATCAAACAAGTCCCTAAGTTTATGGCTAGGATGGGACAGACATTTTCTCAGGCTATGGTAAACATAACAGTTCCTCAAGAATATACAAATGTTGACTGTCCAGAAGATGATGTTAAATGGGGAATAGTGAAGTATCTTACAGATAATTTAGACATTGAAGAGGATAGACCAGAAAAATTTCTTGTAGAGCTGTCAGTCAATGAGCGAGAAGAAAGTAAAGAAGAAGTTGAACAATATACTTTTTCCGATGGTGTTGGGCGTATATCATTGGAAATTGCAGAAGAAGTGAGTATAAATTATAACAATTACAAAATAAAGAAATTTGTTATTTTTTTATGTTTATTGACTTTCAGAACCACATGAATAATATAAAGTGGAAATAAATTAAAAATTTAAAATATTGAAGTTAGAGCTTGAAAATTAGATTTTTTAAATATGTAAATTTTTCTGACTATATGTGTATCATAAAATTAATTTTACTTTAAATTATAACTACCACATATTTCTGAATGTTAGCTGATCATGTAAGTGGAGAGTGTGTTTTTTCTTTAAAAATTTACCCAAAACTCCTATATAAACTGAAATGGGGGAACAGAACGAAAATAAATTCCTGTTAAGTTCAAACATGTTGTCAAGCATATAAAACAGGTGGAATATTTTCCAATGAAATTGTAAATTGAAATGCCATTAATGATAGTTTTAACTCTGGTAACCTATATGAAATTAGGACATTTTCTCCATTCATATGTTGTCTTGCATAGGATCTTTGGTGTCTATGCTAGTGTCATTTTCGTTTTGTTGGATTAACGAAATAAGCAATTTTGAGAAGGAAACAACTGATTTTCATATTTTCCTTAAATGAATAATTATTTCATTTTAAACTAATTTTTTCATAAACATAAGTACTATAAAACAAAATAAAAAAGGGCTATATTTGGTAATTTATTGCCGACTAACAGAAAAGTATCTACTTTTTTTGCGAGATTAGTGGATCTGTATATAAAATGGTGGAATATGATTCTATCATCTCTGAAATGAGTGATCAGCAGCTGCTTCATACCAGTAGCAATGTGCGGAGAAGCGCCATCTTGCATGAATATTGTGCGATCCACGCATTAACGCTGCTGATTTGCCGGAAGGACATGGTTAAGCAAAAGTGCCTCATACCGCTTGCCAGTAATGGCACAGGTAATGCGACTCACAACTGTGAGCTCTTTGAAGAGGAACGGACCGACAATAAATGCTGTCGTTATTCTGCACAAGACAGTGACCTTTTCAGAGTGAAAAGGTAATTCTCGATTGCCCATATCCTGCAATTTTGCGTATTTACAGAACCTTGCAAATGGAAATGAGCTTCGTCAGACCACAGAATATTCCAAGGCCATTCATTATTCACTTCCATCCGGGCAAGAAATTGTAATGCAAACAATTCACATGTTTCCAGGTCAGCAGATAGCAACTGCTGCACGTGAGTTATCTTATACGGATAACAATGCAAGATGTTCGGTAAGACTTTATGCACCGTGCTGAAACGCATATCCAACACTCAGGCGATTTCCTGTGCACTGCATCACTGTTAGTCTGTTCTTGTAACGCTGAATTCTGTGGCCACATTTTCCACTGCTGATGCGAAAACTGGTTTTCGTCTTCTACCTCATTTGACGTCAAATGAACCGGTCTCCTCAAATTTATCTAACATTTTCCGCAGGCCATATGTGGTCACTGGGCTGGATTTTATGCTTTTTAATGCCTGGAACTACCTGATAGCTGTTAATGCACAGTCATCACTCTGATAGAAAAACTTCACGAGAAGAGCATGAACCTTATTCGGCAGAGTCATAATGAAGCACTCAGACAAAATGTGTGTCGTTAGCGTTCTGCGTTTTTATCTTTGCCATGTCTGCAGTGTGTGTGTTACGTTTTAGTAATTTGCATACCAACAGCAATACAAACCCTGACAGCGCCATCTATAGGCATATTTTGGAATTATTTTTTTTCCTTCTCCAAACAACATTCCATTGCCTCACGATTGTTCTACTAAAATATTAAGTCATTCTGACAAGTAGTTTGAAAGTTAGAGCATTTTGAAATTGAAACTGTAATTATAATCACCCTGTACATTACAAATATATATACACTGCAACTATTGTTACTGTTCTTCATGTGATTTCATATTTGATTCATTCTGCTACTTGGTTCTAAACTAAAAACAAAACATTTACATCAGTCATGCACTGTGAATCGGGACCCTGTATCCATTCAGTCCGTTATTTTGTAACAGGTGATTGATATGAACAAAAGCAAGTAACCAAAAAAAAAAAATTGTATTTTCCTTGCCAACTCTTTTTGAATTGACAAAAAACTTTTGCTTGCTTCTTTTTACAATTCAAAAGTGATGTTATTTTCATAAATCATAATCAAAGGAAGCATTTCATAAGAAGCATGGAATTTTATGAGAAAAATACTTGTGTGGTTGATATTTACATTTTTACAGCTGGTGGTTGTTGTTCACCAAAATGACGAAAAATTTTTAAAGTACAAATTCATCTATACTCAAACACTTACTTACAAAGTTTGTATGGTCCTTAAAAGTCCTTAAGTTTTTTAGAATTGATTTTTGGTCCTTAAAAGTCCATAATTTCGGCCAAAATCGTCAGAAGGTCCTTAATTTTAATATTCTAAAATTTCTGTCTGTTTTTACGACTGCTGTTTTGAATGTAAATTAACATTTTGGAGTAATATTTTTGGCGAATTGCTGACAAATATGTGTTCATGAGTTATAATTTGTTCCTATTTCTAATATAAATGGTGGGATTTTCGAGTTCCTGAGCTAGAAGTGAAACATACACATTTCCAAATTATTTCATTTTTTCTAATGAAGAGCTCTTAAACAACTTTTCGCTTTTGGGGATGTGAATTCTTTAATTAAACTGTTCTAAATTTGGTGACTTAGATCTGTTCCTATAGAAGATTTTTAATGGAATCATATGCCACCATTTTATATACAGATCCACTAATCTCGCAAAAAATGTAGATACTTTTCTGTTAGTCGGCAATAAATCACCAAATATAGCCCTTTTTTATTTTATAGTACTTATGTTTATGAAAAAATTAGTTTAATTTAATAAATTTAGAATTTTTTTTACAGATATTTTTAGAACATTGTAACATTGATAAATTTCATTTAAATAATGTTAATATTTTTGAATTATATTTATGAGAAGATTAAAATAAAGCATTTTTATTTTTTGCTGTGATATTATAAAGTTCCATTTCGGCCATTTATTATATGTGGAAAATAAGCAAGGTTTATGCTATAAAGCACCATTTACGAAACAACAAAAGCAAACTAGCTATGTAATTAATTAAAAGTGTATTTTTAATATTTTCATGGTAAGAGTTTTCCTCATGTAATTGTCTCAGAATATTAAGAATTCTCAAAATATACATCAGTTTTCTCCAGAGCTTAAATTGCACCCGAGCCCTGCTCCAGTACTTCTTAGTTTTGGGGATAAATCATAATTCTACCCGGAGCCTTAAATAAGAAAGCTGTGACACTTCTTTTTTGTACCTGAACAAAATTTCAGTAGAAATTTGGTATCGAAAATTTTATGTTTAATAATAAAATTATATTAAAAATCACTTATTAAATTTTAATTTATCTCTTCATACTAATTCAGAAGTCAAACACAACAAATCAGCGTTATATTTACCTACAAAATTTTCACAGGACTAGTTTCGATGGTTTTTACCGAACCATCATCCTTCAGCTGCCAAACCGCAAATGAACAAGATAGGAAATAGTGATTAGATAAGATAAGAAAGCCTGGACAAGAATAAGCAAGTGGCGCCATCTGTTGGCGAAACCAGAACTAAAACATAATTTCTCTAAAAGCCGAAGGCAAATTTGGATTGGAATTAGGATCGTTAACTAGAACAGAAAATTTTTATGAATGTGAAATGCCTCTAGAAAATCCAGTTCTCCGAGAACTGGATTTTCTAGAGGCATTTCACATTCATAAAAATCTTTCTGTTCTAGTAGAACTGGATTTTCTAGAGGCATTTCACATTCATAAAAATCTTTGTTCTAGTTAACGATCCTAATTCCAATCCAAATTTGCCTTCGGCTTTTAGAGAAATTATGTTTTAGTTCTGGTTTCGCCAACAGATGGCGCCAATTGCTTATTCTTGTCCAGGCTTTCTTATCTTATCTAATCATTATTTCCTATCTTGTTCATTTGCGGTTTTGCAGCTGAAGATGATGGTTTGGTAAAACCATCGAAACTAGTCCTGTGAAAATTTTGTAGGTATAACGCTGATTTTTGTTGTTTGACTTCTGAATTAGTATTTATTCAGCGTGTTATTGTGTCTTTATTATCTCTTCATATTTAAATTTTTTATTTAAACTATTTAATTTTTTAAGCATTAATTATTAAATTATTTTAATAATTAATATTTAATTATTAGTGATTTATTTGTGATTTTTATTTATTTGAGTATATCTTTTCTGACGGTGTTCTACGGGGCTTCAGCACATCTAATTAAGCCCTATAATTCTCTATAAAATTAATTTTGCACTTTTTTCCTCCGATTTTTTTTTTTTTTTAAATATTTCTGGCTTAATGCTGTTACAGAATTGATAGGGGTAAATTTTTTTAGGATTTTAGACATTGCAGCTTGAAAAGTTTAGAAAGATATGAAGACAAGATTTATAGACCTACGATTCTAGAAGATTCCAGTAAAATGTGACAAAATGAAAACTGTCTCCATAGTATTAATACGTAATTTCTTACTTTTCGGAGAATGTCTGGAAGAACAACATTATAGTTGAATGTTTTACTTCTGATTCTAGAATCTTTTTCTTAACATTTTAATCTTCCCTTTATTTTCTCTACTTTTCACTAGACACAAACATGGAAAATATCAAAAATGCTTCTAATCTTATCATATGGACAGGCATTATAGAAAGAAATTCTTTTATTAATAAAGATATTGAAGATTGACAATTTAAAAGATTCATCTAATATGTCTTAACGCATCATACACAGGGCTGGCACTAGGCATTTTCCCATCTGATGTAGTCTCTGTGGATCTTAAATTCTGCTGCCTGGTGCCTTTCTAAATTCTGCTTCCAATGCCTGTTCTAAATTCTAAAAGTTTTGCCATTTCTATCTAGGCTTTATTGCTCAGTGTGTCACTAAATTCTAAAAATTATGCCGCACCAGCATTCTGTAACCAGACCTCACCATATATATTTCATATTCCTTCTGAATGTTCAATTATTAAAGAAATAAAATTAGCAGCTTTTTTATATACAATTCTAAATGATATATTGATAATCTAAAATATTTTAGAATAACGCAGAATCTTTAATTAAATCCAAAAAATTCTAAAATGGAGGGGGGGAAACGTGGAAGAATGAAACTGAATTCATAAAGGGAAAGAAAATTATTCTTCAAAGGATATGTACAGTTATTATTATGTAAATTACTCAGTTGTTTACAATTTCAGCCTTTACTATAATTTCCCATTTCTATTTCCTAACTAGAATGCAAATCACATAGACAGTTTTTAAACTGAGGTTTTGGGAGTGCAAGACAAGAATGTGCTTTTGACCTCCACTTGCTCCCTACATTACTTCCTGCCAGCTCTGATAATTTATAATTATATTCGTCTTGGATTACCATTGCCGACATTTGAGTTTGTTGATGAGTTATTGATGATAGTTATTGAGCCAGCCTACAATTAAAATTAAATTGTATAGTCTTTGACCACTAATCCATATTTTTAGTTGAATTTGACTCTTTTTGTTTCATTACATCACTACGAGGCTGTGAATTCATTTTGTTAGCATAAAAACATGCCTTTATTTTTTAAGTTCTTTTTAAATAAGAATCTTATTTAAACCTTTGTCAGACAATGTAGTTACTTTCAGACATAACGATAATTTGCTTCATATCTGTTGATGTGTTTTGGACTATTTAACTTTTACCAGATCAAATAAACCCTCATAGGTACATTGTGGGCAGGTTGACAGGTTAGGAGATAAAAACATGCAAAAACTGGTGAGAACATTCTTTTGTGCATTGAGACAAATTTCTAATTGTTAGAAAAGGTGCTTAAAGAGAAGGAAATCGATATAAATTAGCCAAAATATATGGGAAGGCTTGAAATTAAAAACACGCATAAATCTTTTGTTGAGTATTGTTGCTACAAATCATAAATGTTTTGTAGCTTTTAATGTGTAATTATCCGAATATTGCTTAAGAATCACTGTCATAAATTACATGTATTTTAAACTGTGAAATTTTATTAAATTAGGATTTTAATATTTAATTTTTTAAATTAGGATTTATTAAATTAGGATTTTTATTGTTAAAAAATAAATAAAATTTAATAGTGGCCATGTAAATCCATAATGACTAAGGTTATCTTATACCTAATTTAATTACTTATAACTAACTGCTTGTCCTTAAAAATTATCTCTGCATATTAAAGCAAGTTATTGCCTTTCATTAACCCTTACCATAGTCACAAGATAAAATATAAAAATGTAAAAATTCATGTAAAACTTATTCTTCGCATCTAGTGAGACTTGAAATAATGCAAAACAACTTATCACCTCTGGTGCTTTAGTGGCTTATTAGAACCTTAAAGTATATTATCTGAGTCACAAACCCTGGAACTTTGCACAAAGCTACGACACTAACGGTGTCAGACAGAGCCCAGCTAACTTTCAGAACTTGCCAACCATGACTACATCAGGCCTTTCAGGTTTGTTCTGATCAGCAGGTCGCTCTCTCTAGGCAAGCAGCAGCAGTGACAATAGCCAGTCTTGTTATGAATCATGCTGATTATGATTTTACTTCTCATTTTAACCTATGACGCTTGACATAAAATCTGCTTACTATTTACTAAAACTCTAGACTGAGCAAGTATGTGACAAAATGAGATATAAAATAAAATCAACATAAAACTGTTAGTAAAACATAAATAACATGTCCTTTATCTCCTTTCAAATATGTTCAGTTCTTATAAGTGTAAAATATATAATGCTCCTTGATAAATTTCATATATTTTATTCTCAGACTTAGTAATAACTATGTTAATTAAGTCATGTTTAATAATAATGCATCCTACTTACGGATCTATTTTATTTTTAGGATGGTATTAAAAAAGGGAAGTTCAGGCATAGATAATATTTTTAACTGAATTTATTCAGTTCCCATTCACTCATAGGTCCTTAATGTTTTTTATTAATGGTCCTTAAAAGTACTTAATTTCCATGTGCAGAAATGTGTACGAACCATGTACTTAGTATGCACATGTGTGGATTGGCTACTAATGCATGCATATTTTTAAATTGCACCAAAAACAGGTCAGTACTATTGTTCACTGTGATTGGAAGTGCAGATAATCAGAAAATACTGAAATTTTTAATAGTGACCATGTACATCTACCATGTAAAATAATAGTAATTATTATAAGCGTAAAATATAAATGTTTCAAGAAATTAATTTTCTGATTTAATGTTAATTATTTGATGACATTTACAGAATTGGTTGTATTGTCAAATTTGTTTTACATTTTGTATTAACAATGATTCATTCTACATGCTTCTATTTTATTATTAGAATGCTGTTACAATACTGAAATCAATTGTATAGATAATTATTTTTAATTTATTTGGTTCCCATTTATTTATAAGTCCTTAAAAAGTTCTCAGTTGCCATATACATAGATGTGTACATTTTTTTAACTTATAATTTATTTTATGCATTTGAAATTGACATTATTTATGGAAATTAAAAGTGTCTGATTACGTTGGTAAGGCACTGTGTACTTCTGCTATAAAAAAACTTTGAATATTCTTAAGTGCAATCTAATTTTTTATGTTAATTTGTCTCTTACTTGTTAGGTTTATAAAAAGTTAGATATTGAAGATAAAAAACCTTCTGCTATGCAAATAAGATATGCTGGATGTAAAGGCATGCTTGTTATTGATCCTAGGCTTGAAGGTAAAAAAATATTTTTCCGTGAGAGCATGAAGAAATTTTCTTCAAAAAATGATTCATTAGAAATATTGAAATTAAGTGAAAAACGTAAGTATAATTTTTTTCTAATATTTTTCTTCAAATTTATTATCGTATGTTTTATTTTATTTAAAATGAATAAAGAGTGTAAGCAGAAATGAAGTTTGCCACTATGAATAAAATAAAGCAAAGGAGCAACTGAGGTTGACATAAGTCTAAGAAAGGAAGGAATTTGAGGGAAGAGGGGGAATTAAAATGCATTATTTTATATGATTTTTGCCCTTGTCTTTTGTGTCATTTCTATAGCATAGAATTCTGCATATTTAAATTATTTGCATTAAATTACCTGCATTAAAATAACATAGCCATTATAGTAATTTTGAAAAACAGAATAGTTTTGCCATTTATATGTTACTCTAACAATTAGTTCACGATGGCCGGTGCGAATTTGATTGAATTATTATATACGTAATGCAATTTAAAAAATTAAATTACTAATTGGTAAAAAGAAATGTTGCATGATTTCTATTTTAAAATGCAGCTGTATTTCAAAAGTAAAACTATTTATTGCAAATAAAATGCATTTAAGGTGCCTAAAATTGCCCTAATTCCTCTTTTACAATCCCAGTATGGTATTTGACTTCTAATTTGGTAATCAAATGGTATTTGAGATCTAATTTCAACCTCAAAGTTGATTTGTCAGCTTTTAAAAGATTGCTAAATATTGCTGCATTTCCTGTCTATGCTAATATATGGTAACTTGTATAATAACTGTCAAAAGAGACCAAAAGCTGTAGGACTGCCACAAATACTACTATTCTTTACTTATGCTCAGATGAAATGTACTCTTGCAGCAAACAATATTTCATGTACCCACAGCTTAAAATTATTACAGAGATAGATATTTAGCCTGCAGTGATGGCCTGACAGTAACCTCCAAGTTATGGTTTTTGTAAAACCAGGTTTTTCTCTCCTAGTTTGGCAACATTTCTGCGCATTCCATATTTTCCTTACTGCAAAATAATGGTGCCTTATATTTCAAGCTCTTCTTTTTTATCCTTAAAACCATTTTAACAACAATGGAAGCTCTTAATAGTCATATTTTGACACCATGGACATGTGTCTTGTTATTTCTTTGAAGAAGCATACTTTTCAGAAGTACAGTAGAGTTTTGATAACCCACAAATGTCTATGATTCCCTTCATATTTTTAGGTATTAACAAGAAAAATAAAAATTCAACATGGCTGCAAAATTATTAACTGTTTTTATTATACATATCTGCAGATAATTTTTTAGAAAAAGTATGCTGGAATACTAGTTGAAAAAGTAAATTAATTTCTGAAATTATTTAGCTTTTACTGCGTGTGCAATAGCACTTTTTGTTATTGTTACTATTATTATGCACAGATCAGATTGTGACTGTAAATATTTCATTTTAGATAAATATATGATTCTGGATGATTATATCAAACACTTGCTGGCTAAGTAATCATTGATGGTACATTGATGGACCTTGTATTGGTGTTAAGTGCAACCATACTTTCTGCGCTTGAGTGATTGTGGATGGGCTCGCATATTTCTGTCTGATCTAAATATTAAGTAAAGCCCCAACATCTATTAATTTGAAAAGTGGTATTGTAAATACTGGTCCAATTGGTTTTCTTTTGTTGGTGTAGTAGCAGGGATTACTGGTGTAGTAGGGTTAGATTCTGAGGAATTTAATTTAATATAGCAAATTGCACGCCTACTTAGCTTTCAGGTTTGAAACAGCTTATTGTTTTGTTCTATCTATTATTAATCTTACTGTAAGTGATAACATCTCTGTTTTACACTCCCTGAAATTATACATCCATCAATCAGCCAGAATAGATAGTGGGATTTTGAATGCATTGTACGGCAGATATACAATAGTATTATATTGTACGTATGTACTATGTATAGTTGCATATAAGTTCCTAATGGATTAAATGCACACAGAACCAATGATAGCTTCATGGAAATTATTTTCCCAAAGTAAACACTTTACAATTGTGGAACTTTTCATGAAAGTACTTGTAGAGCTCTTCTCAGTATGACAAAGCATAATCAGTCATTGCCATCTCAAACTACTATAAAAAATTAAACCTCAAACCACAATAAAAAACCTCAAATGTAAAACACAGACAGTTATCTCTCAGTACTCTGAGATAAACTCTAAATGTAACTGAGAAATGATGCTTTCTCCAGTCTCGCTTAGTTTTTTCCCCCAGCCGACGAGAATTTCCAGTACCTTCAATTTTTTAAAATTGCTAGAAGGCATATACAGTTACATTTACGTAGGTCTGGATACAGTTATAATTTCATAGGGATTGGACCACTTACAAGTTATATTATATACAGTTACAGTTATACAGCAATCAGACCAAAATTCTGCCAAGTTTAACAATGAAAATTCGGTGCCAAAACAGAATAGCTACAGATTAAATTAAAATAACAGTACCATTGCGCATTCTCACACTTGTTAGATACAAATACAGTTCTGCATGTTTCAGTTTAAGTATTTAAAATAGCTACACAGCGCTTGCTATTTTAACAGAGTTCTTTTGTTACCACCTTCGTGGGGAATAAACATCTACCTAAGTAATTTTCTATCATGATGGCCATTATGACATAAATGTATCTGTATTACTTTGCTTTATAAATAGCAGAATAATTATATTTGAAATATATGCATGCTTGTAGAAAAACTTATTCAAAATTGAAATAATTTCAGAGTTTTGGTTTGCTGGGTAAAAATGTTGTAGATGACATGAAATTGTTTTAACAGTATTAACATGATATGAAACTCTTTTGACAGAAAAGTTTTGATGGATATATGCAAATTGTTCCAAATACTATAAGACAGTGCTTCTTAACCTTTCTAGTGAGTTGCACCCCATTGAATCTGAAAATATATCTCCCGCACCACATTGAAAAATGTGTTTTAATTTTTTTAGTCTAGAAAAATACATTTTTTGCAAATTGTTTATTGAAAAACATTGTACATTTTATATAAATACAAAACAATATTATTTTTATTAATGACTAGTCTGTTGTTTGTTCATTATTATACTGGTGAAGCGAGGTTCCTTTTTTGAAAGATATACGCGTAAGTCATCACTTGCATTTACGCGATTTCTCACTTTAGATTTTATATGCAAAAGCGATGAAAATCTCATTTCGCACAAGTAGGTGGTAGCAAAGGGAAAGAGTAACTGCAGTGCTCCGTTGGCCAACTCTGGATAACGTTGTAACTGTGAATACCAGAATTGTTGCAATTCTAATTGTTCGAATTCTATTTGAACATGTATTTGTATCTAACAAGTGTGCTTGCATTTCAATAAGTTGATCTTTTTACAGATCACTATCATCCATCAAATTTAAGTCAAATAGAAATGGATCCAGTATCCATCTCTGAGTTTTGGTAATATTTCCGGTAGAAAAGTATCCATTGAATGATTCACTCAATCGTCTCAAATGTATTACAATGTCGGGTATAATTGTATTCTTTTCATTTTTCGCAATAACAGAATCAAGCAAGAGAAAGTTTGCCAAATTCCCCTTTTCTACTCGATGTATCCAAATTTCTAATTTTGCGATAAATGAAGATAATTTTTCACTAGATATTATTATATTTTAACCATCCTTGCATTGATAGATTCAATTCATTTAAATGACTAAATATGTCTGCTAAGTAGGCAAGCCTCAGCATTGCATCATTATTCTCAAAATCTTTTACTAAATAACATTTTTGACTTGTCAGTAATTGAATAATTTCCTCACGCAATTCAAAAACTCTGTTCAGCATGCGATCCTTAGATAACCATCGTATTTTGGTGTGATATAGGAGCATGGTATGATCAGCACTGATTTCTTCGCAAAATGCACGAAAAATGCGAAGATTAAGCGCTTGCCCTCGGATGTATTTTACTACATTTACTGCTGTAGTTAGATGTTGTTTTAAACTTTCTGGCAATGCTTTCGACGCAAGTGCATGACGATGCAACATGCAATGCGTTACTTCCGGTAATTCTCTTTTCATGTGTGAAAAAAATCCTGAATTTTTGCCTAACATTGCTGGGGCTCCATCAGTGCATATTGAGCCAATCACATTCATTGGTAATTGATATTTAGTAAAAAGATCTTTGATGCGATTGAAAATATCAATTTCCTCTCGTATTCACCTCCAGTGGCTCACAAAATAGAAATTCTTCTATCACCTCTTTTTCCTTCACATACCTGACAAATACCAAAAGTTGGCTACAATTATCAACATCAGTTGACTCATCCAGTTGCATGCTTATTTTTAGTGGACTGATTTTTATGTCTTCAATTACTTGCATTAAAATATCTTCACTGAGATCTTGTATTCGCGATCGTATAATATCATTCGATAATGGAATCTGTTGGATTTTTTTATGTGCTTCCGAATCTAAAACTGTTTTAGCAATAATTAAAGCAGAAGGTTTAATCAAACTCTTCAGCGATCGTGTGAGGTTTCTTTTTTTTTTTTTTTTTTTTTTTTTTTTTTCACATAAATATGCCACTTGATATGACGCTTCTAATAAAGGTTTTGAATTGCTGGTCCGCACAAATTTTAGGATAGTTCCACTGATGTCAAACCGAGCTTTCTTTGACTTCAAGCTGTTCATGCTATGCGCTTTTTCGCCACCATGCAGATTGTTGAAATGCTCTAATAACTTTGATGGTTTGAGATTGCTGTTTGAAAATATCTTGGAAACACAAGATGCATTGCGGTCGTTGCATGCCATCTTTTTCGGTTGTGCAGGTAAATCCATAACCAGCATACTTATTATTCCATTGTCTTTTTTTTTTTTTTTTTTTTTTTTTTTTTTTTTTTTGACATAGTGGGGTTTACTATAATCGATTTAATTATTTAGAAATAATGTAATATAATATATATAATATTCTTACGTATGTAATATCACTGAATTCTATTCGACTTGAACGGGCAATTAAGAATGTATTAGTCTCAAGAGGTTTCTGGACAAGTCAGAATACACAATAGTTGACTCAACCTAACACAGGCGCAGTAGATGCAGATGCAAATCTGTGAATCCGTAGATTTCATTGGAGTAGCACATGTTGAACTCGGCGCATGCGCAAGCTGGGATTACATTCTCCGCTTGTAACGTGGCTTTCGAGGTTTCTCGAAGGTCACGTTTGTATTCCCACAAAGTTTTTTTCTTTTCGCTGTCACCTAGCTGCCTCTTCGCGTTCGTTTGTAGCATTTCATGCCTTTTTGTAGTGTAGTGTATACGCCCATCGGCACCGGCTCTTTCCTGTGTCTTTTGCCGATAAGTGAGCTAGGTGCTACCAATTTTTATGAGCTTCGGTATTGGGGACACTATTGCAGATTTCAAATATTTTATTATAAGAAATTTTATAAATGATATTTAATAATTTTTATGGTTAGGTCGGGTCCTCTCCCACACCCCCAAAAATACATTCCCGCACCCCCTCCCTGTCAAGAAACACTGCTATAAGAGAATATGATTTTTTTCCCATCTTATTTATTTAACAGCAGTTTAATTGTAGTGAATTTTCTTTTATGATAGTCGATGAAAAATAATATTTGAAGCAATGAGAATGATATTTTTTCAAAAATTAAGCTTTTATATTGTTGGTGTCTTCTATTTACCTCCTGTTTTTAAACATTATTGTTATATTTTAATCTCATTTTGTTGGGGAAAAAATTAATATTACCTTTTTTTTTATTGATTTCATATGTCTTTACCTTTTAAGTAAACAAAATAATTGTTTTGGTTCATAGGTACTGCATACCTGAATAGGCCTTTGATTACTATTCTGGAACAGTTAGGTATTGAAAAAGAAGTATTCCTCAAACTGCAGAAAAAAATGATTCAGAATCATATTAAAAGCATGTTTCATGAAACAGAAGCATGGTGTTTTTTACATAGGAATTCGCTGCTACGATTGGATTTTCTAAAACTGCATATATCGGGCATTCGTTTTACAGAGGACCCTTTATTTAGATCAATGATTTATGCACTCTTCAGAAAGCAAATAGGTAAGATGAGTAATCACATTAATCTTCAGCTAATTTATTGTGTAAATAATTTTATAAATTTCTTTTGAGAGGAAAATTCTGTCACTTCGTTAAAAGTGCAGAGCTCCATTTGTATTAACTAATGGTTAACTAACCATATATTTTGTGATGAGTACAGTAATATAACTCCTTATATTTCACTGCTAAAATGTTATTTTGAAAAATAGTATGGTTGATTGTTTACAAGCTCTTAAGAGCTAAATTAAAATAAAATTTGTTATTTATTATTGTGATGGATTTTATATTGAATTCATATTGAATTATGGTTTTAAAAATAAATACATAATTGTCTTGTTATAGATTTTGACATGTTTTAAAGTGTTGCCTGAAACCATGTATAAATAATAAGAATTTTACTGCCTAGCAGTAAAAAGAAATACTTTGAATATAATTTCTTCCGTAAATAAATTGAGTCTGTTAAAACTGCTTAGGCTCTTTAGGACGTAAAGCTTAATTTTGTGAACAAATATCAAAGGTAAATAACAGATGGAAAAGCTTGCGATCTAAAAATTTCAAATTACATTTCTAACATTTCAAAGAAGAGCATAGCAATAAAACGTTAAAAGAACTTTTTTTAAATACAACTAATGTAACCAGTGCATCACCCACAAAAACACTGGAACATCAGTAACCAATGTGAGCATACAAGAAAAACTAAGTATTCGTGAGCAAAGTTGGCATGCTTAATTTTTTTATAATTTCTGATATATTAAATTTTGTTATAAAATGTGATGCTGATTTACATTTGACATATACAGGTCTTTCAATCCATGGTTTAAAACTTTCAATCCGTGGTTATTTTTATTTGCTGAAAGATAAATAAGTATATTTCAAAATTTTTGAAGGATACTTCAAAAACACTTGAATAGTTTTCAGCATCAAATTAATTGTGTTTATTTATTTCAACAGAATTACTGAAAACAAAAGCAAACATTGAAATTCCTGTTGATCAAGGTCGTGTAATGTTTGGTGTTATGGATGAAACTTTCACTTTAGAATATGGTCAAGTTTTTGTTCAGTATAGTGATTGGGATACTGATGAGCCAAGAATTTTGGAAGGTAGTGAAAATTATATTAATATCCTTAAATGTAAATGAGTTAAAAATTCAGAGGAATGCATAATACTTAAGAGAACTAATTTTTTATGAATTATATTTCTTAATTTTAGTGGTTTTAATTGCTGATTTTTTTAAAAAAATTTTAGATGCATTTTTATTTACAACTTCTTATATCAACAGAATATTTTTTTCTAATAAGAATCATGTAAAATTTCATGTTTTTAAATGATTTTTCTGTTAAAATTTAACAGTAGGATTGCTGATTAATTTTAGTGTAATTTTAGGCAAAAGGAGAAATTGAAATTAAAAGGTAATTAATCCTCTGACAGTAAGATTTCTGAATAGCTTGTTCACTATTTATCCTGAATATACAGAAGGAACTTTAATCATGTTGACACTTTATGGTACATTAATGTAGAAATTATTATTTCTCTATCAATTTATGATTCCATTTCCATTTGAATCAAATTCTCTGTTTCTGCTAATTTGTACCCATGGTCAGATTATTAAAATAGTTTTTAAAAGGTCTCTCATGTAATTTCTCTGCGTTGGATTGTGGTTTTTATTGCTTTATTTTAAAGAATAAGCAGTGGAAGAATAACTGAATTTGCCAAAATACTGTTACTTACTTTACACATTTGATTCCAATCAGGAGAATCACTTGTCTATGAATATTTTTTTAGGTTCTTTCTTGTATGGTTTATATATTAGACAGTTTGTCATAAAATATTGGTGCAAGAGTAGCAAACGAATACTAGTAGCCATACAGATACAAATGAAAGCAACCACAAAAAATATCAATTCACAAGATTCTTTTCAGAATGTCATTTTTACATCTCTAATGTTTCATTTATTAGTATTTGTTTCTTGTCAAAAGTGACATGACTAAACCTTATGTAATATGAGATTTAGTTTGTTGATCATGTTGAAGCTGTAGTTAGAAGTTTATCATTATGTTTTATAGTCACAGCAAAAATGGCTTCTTATTTTTGTTTAGCTTAAAATTTCATTTTATTGTAGCAAAGCTATAATAAAATACCTTCTTTCCCCAAGGTAATGCACAAAAAGCAGTACCTATTTTCAAAATGGTCATACACTAAAAATTTCATACAAGAGTAGTCATTCAATAAAATTTTAAAAAAGCAAAAGCATTTCCAATAAAATGCTTATGTTTCCCATGCACACAGCAATCTGTTTTTGCATAAAAAATCATTTGAGAATTGTACAGATTTTGCAATATACAACTTCGGTATTGTGCACTTGCCAAAATAGATATATGCACATGTACACCTGGGTTGCTACAGAGTTATTTAGGTAACTTTATTTTTTGCCTCATGAATATCTTTTCACAACTTTTCTGTGAAGTGCAAATAATCAGAAAGTATCCAAAGCACTTGAGAGCTGTTATTGGAAATTGAATACAGGAAAAAAAAAATACTGTTGTTAAAAAAATTACTGTCATCTTTCCCATAAACCTTTTATTATTATCTCACCATAAACATATTTAATGTTTATAGACTATTGGAAGACTTTACTTTAGTGTGCGATCAAAGCATGCTAAGAAAATAATGCTGTCGCTGTGTAATAACAAGTCAGTAATTAAATGCAACATTAATGGGAAGAAACTAGAAAGACTAATATAGAAAACATAAGCAGCCTACAAGTGGCTCATTGTATAAGATTAATGAATACTGATAGTGTGGTTTTGGGTAAATAGTAGACATTAGATTTAGAGGCTGTGAGATACAGATTCACTGTTTTACTCTCTAATAATTATTAATTAATAGATCATTCAATCTGTTTAAATTTTTAATTGTAGCAAAATATTGTTTAATTAACATTGAATATCATTTGAATAACATAAATAATTATCCAGTGAACTTTTGTTCTTGTTAGTCACTGTCATACATCGATTCTTTGATCAATTCATCTTTGTCGGTTCGTTTCCATCCACTTATGAATGTTATTAATCAACTCTATTTGCAGTAAATAAACTGGGACACTTATGCAGGTTTAACAATAACATGAACTATATTTTAATTTTGTAAATATACATTAACTTTTCACAAAGTATTGCTTTTATTCACATTTACATCAAACGCACAAGTAATACATTTTGCATCTTTCAGTTCTTCACAAAAAAGAAAAAACAAGACAAACTCTACTCTCGGAATACAGCCAAACTAATTTTCAAATTTTTTCTCACGAGCATGCCCTCTCTCATCAAGCACGTTTCTTCTTCCCGTTGCCAGATATTTTTCCCTCTCCTTTCAGGTAAACTGTTTTTTTCACACAAGCATGCCGTTCTTCTCGCATCAAGCACGCTTCTTCTCGTTGCCAGATTTTCTCCTCTCTCCTTTCAGCTATAAGTCGTTGGCTTAACTGTTCTTACGCTAAGCTTGGTCAGTAGCATCCCCTTACGGAGTATGTGCATGACAGTCACTTTTCATAAATGAACATATCTGAAGTAGGTTCAGTATTTCTGAGAACATCAAATAAACAACGATATCAGACACCATTTTCTTAAGGTGACCATCTCCATAATAGTTCAGAATCATATGGTAAGTACAGATTGTTAGATAGAGCATAGAACATAGAGACGTATCTTTATAATATATATTGTATATAAGGATACTGTAAAGACAAATTAAAATTTTTTAAAATGGGTGAGGGGATCATTTAGATGCCTGTGAGCATCAAGAACTTTAGGCCTGCATTGGGGAGAAGATTAGCTACAAGAAGTTTTCATAGCGTCTCTAACGTGCAACATCAATGTAGAAGAGTATGTATTCCTGAGAAATTCCTCTATGAAAGCATTCTCTAAAGGCAGATAGCCTTCATGCGCTTTGCTGTAATCAATTAACTATTTAAAACACGAATTTATATGGGTGTGTAGAGAGTGAATGAGTGAAATAATTTGTATGTTGATGACATAGTTACTTATTAATGACAGCTGATGTATAAAAAGTAGTAGCAATTTTAACATTTCTTTATTCTCACTGGCAAACAATATAAAGTAAACTCACATAAATTGGCACAATGAGTGCACATGTTCTTAAAAAAATATATTAGAGCTTTGTACACTTTTTAAGTATATTTGAAGAAAAAAGCAATAGCAGCAGCAACAAGTTGGTAGTAACAATGCAAGAAAATGAATGCAACATGTTCAAGATGAATTCTTGGTTCAGAATGGTTTCGGTTTACCTTTATATTAATTGTTTAATTAACCCTTTGGCTGATCATCCTGCGATTTCCACGGGCAACTCAAATGTAGCAAAATTTTCTCATCCCGCGATATCCGCGGGCATATGTTTTTCTTCCTTTATTGAGGAGCGCATCCCGTTTAACCATTGAAATAAAATATATACAGTATTAGGTGTTTAGTTTACGTTTTGGCCAACAGATATCGTTAGTTGTCCACTAAATTGCGGCATTTGAAGGCACGTGGTATTAGCACTCAAACTTCACTTTTTTTCTGACAGAAATGGCTGCTAGAAAACGTTCAGCGATTTGATTATTAATTAGATTTATTGAATCAGGTCCAAAGACTGAAGTTTGAACTCTATCATACTAAACTGCATTTTTAAGGTTATTTTTTCCCTCAGTGCTTTATATTTTCTTAAATTTTATACATTTTACTTTTTTATATTATGCAATAAATCGAAATTAACTGTAATTCGACTGAAATTTATTTAATTTTATTTTTTTTGTGATAACATCTGAAATTGGTTTTTCTGGCAACTTAGTTTCTCATGATGAAAATCTATATAAAAAATATTTTCTAGAAAGAAAAAGTGCATTTTTCAATTCTCCTATATATATAGATTTAAAATATGCAAAAAAAAGGGGGGAGCAATTTTGGAAGTGATTTTGGTCCACAAATTGAGCAGTCAGAGGGTTAATAATTTTAGAAAATTATTTTTGTCTGAAGCTTAATGTAAATGCCTTCATTATTATCATGATGCAAGAATCATATGGTGTAGATTAATTTTACAGTTTAGAGGAATTTATTATTTTTAGGAGAGAAACGGGAGTTACCCAAGTTAAAATAGAGAGTTAAAGAGCTACTGCAAATTAAAGCTAGAATTTTGCTCTACATATTTTTTATCTTGCATATATGGATATTAGAATGAAATTTACTTTTTCAGGGATTTCTGTTAAATTTTAGTTTATCAGTATTGCAGTGTTATCCTGCAAATATTGGCAGTCTAAACCCCCTCCCAATTCTTGACTTAGTCTTTTGAAGGGACAGTAGTGATCTTAGCTTTTTAAACTTTTAAAATTTTTACTATTAAAGTGAAGTGCTATGAATACATTTGTGTTTTCCATGTCTGTTAAAATTTTTGCAGGGAAGGGGACTTAAACTATTAACTTTATCAAATATCAGAACTTTGTTTAATTTTTGTGTATGAAATGTAGTTTTTTTTTTTTTTTTTTTTTTCCCCATTGTCATCATATTTCAGGAACTGTAGTAGTAACAAAAAATCCTTGCATGCATCCTGGAGATGTTCGCAAGTTTGAAGCAGTTGATGTTGAAGCTTTACATCATATTCGTGACTGTATAGTTTTTCCTGCTAAAGGTCATAGACCACATCCTGATGAAATGGCTGGTAATCAAACTTTATTAATTGTTTTCAAACTGTTTTACTTATATTAATAACGTATTTTATGTTAAGTGCAGTGTCTAAAACATTGGTTACCAGAGTGGCTTAGTGGTAAGTCACTGAACATAGGGTTCATATGGTCCTTAAACAACGTCCTTAGGTTATTTCTTGGAATCTATTTTTGGACTTTAAAAGTCCTTAATTTCATCCAAAATCGGTGGAAGGTCCTTAATTTTAATTATCCGAAATTTCAATCCATTTTTACGAATGTCATTTTGAGCGTGAATCAGCAATTTGGAGGAATAATTTTGGCGATTCTCTGACAAATATGGTTATTGTTGGAATTTGTTTCCATTACTAATATGAGCAGTGCAATACTCGAGTTTCTAGGCAAGAAGCAAAACATAAACATTTCAAAATCCTTCTCCCTCCCCCCCTCCAATAAAGAGCTCTTAAACAGCTTTTCCTTTTTGGGGATTAAATTCTTTTACTAAACGGTTCTAAATATGATGACTTACCAACATTTTGGTGATTTTAATTAATTTCTATACACAATTTTTAATTCGGATATCTCTGAATTTTTTGACGATTTCTGTTAAGAACAACATTCATTATAACATTAACAAATTTCGTTAAAATAATGGTAATATATTGAAATTATATTTAAGAAATAACATTAAAAATAAAACATTTTTATTTTTCCCAGTTATGTTATAAAGTGACATTACTTTCCATTTTGTTGACTTTTTACAATATTTTGAATCTGAAACATAAGGTAATAAATGCACAGTTTACAAAACAGTTCTTTGCAAAAGCAAAACAGCTATGTAATTATTTTAAAATGTCTCCTTTTTTTTTATTTTTCATAGTAAGAGTTTTTTTTTTTTTTTTCCTTTGTAAATTGCCTCACAATTTTCAGAATATACATCAGCTTTCTTCATGAAATTCATTAATTTTTTTTCTGTGAATTTATTTTTCAAATAATAATAATAAAAAAAAAAACAGCTGTAAATTCTGTAACAGCAGAAAGCTGTTACATAATTGTAGTGTAATTTTTCTTTCGAATTTTAGGCATTGCACCTTGGAAAGTTTAAGGACTTGAAGACAAGGTTTATATATCTATGATTCTAGAAGATTACAGAAAAATGTGACAAAACAAAAAAATGTCTTCATGCTATTAACTCATAATGTATGTGTTTTACAGAAATTCTGTGGTGAATTTCTTACTTTGTAGAGTATTTTTGGAAGAACATTGAAAACGTAATATATGAATTGAATATTTTATTTACGTCCGATCCTAGAAGTGTTTTTCTTAACCTGATTATTTTTCCTTTATTTTCTCTTCTTTTCACTAGACACAAGCATGGAAAATATCAAACTGCTTCTAATCTTGTCACATGGACAGGTATCTAATAGAAAGGAATTTTTCTTTTATTAAAGAAATTGAAAACTAATAATTTAAAATATTTGTCGTATATGTCTCAAAGCATGATCAACAAGGGTATCATTAGGCAATTTCATGTTTAATGTAGTCTCTGTTGGTCCTAAATTCTGCTCCCACTGCCTGTATAAATTCTGAAAATTTTGCCATTTCTAGATTTTGTTGCTTGTTTCATCACTAAATTCTAAAAATTTTGCCATATCAGCACTGTAACCGCCCCTGACCAAATATCATTTTATATTTATTCTCAGTGTTTATATTACTAAAGAAATAAAATTAGCAACTTCTTCTCTACATTCTAAATATACATAGTTTTTAGAATAACAGAAATCTTTAATTAAATAAAAAATTCTAAAATGAAAAGCAAACTTATTGAGAAAAGAAACTGAATATATAAAGAGAAAGAAAATTATTTTTCGAAAGATATGTTCGTTATTATAATGTAAATTAATCAGTTGTTTATAATTTCAGCTCTTACTGTAACTTCTCTTTTCCGTTTCCTTACCAGGATGTAAATCAGTTATATGGTATTTAAACTGAGGTTTTTCAGATTGTAAGACAGACCATGTTTCTTGTGTCTGCTTGAATAGTTCCAGTCAGCTGTGATAATTTGTAATTATTCAGCTTTCCATTATTGCTGCTGACATTCAAATTTGTTATGACAGTAAGTTACTGAGTAAGATTAAAATTAAATTGTGTTGTCTTTGACTGCTGGTCCTCATTAATTGTTCCTGTTTAGTTATATTGCCTAAGCTGTAGTTGATTTTGTTAGTATAAGAACATGCATTTATGTTCTAAGTACTGTTTAAATAAAAAAAGAGGTTTATTTAAACCTCTCTTAAAACAAAGTCAGATAAGACTTTGTAGTTACTTTCAGACATGGTGATAATTTGCTTAACTTTAAAGCTCTGTCAGGGATTTAGGACTTAGCTTTTACCAGATCAAGTAAAACTTTCACACATATAGTCTGAGACATTTACAAGTTAGGGAATGAAGTGGGAACATTGGTTTGCTTAAATTGAAACAAATTTTTCATTGTTAAAAATGATACTTAAAGAGAAGGAAATTGATATAAAATAGCCAAAATGTTTAGGAATGTTTCTAATTAAAAAGATGCATAAATATTTTGTTGTGTGTAGTTGCTTTTAATGTATAATTATCCTAATGTTACTTAACATCATAAATTACATGTGTTTTTTAAACTGTGAAATGTTATTAGATTGTGATTTTAATAGTGCTTATTTATCAAATATTAAAAATAAATAAATAAATAAAATTTAACGGTGGCCATGTAAATCTCTAATGACTAAAGGTATCTAACTACCTAATTTAATTATTGGTAACTAATTGCTCACCTTAAAAGTTATCTCTGCATGTTAAAGCAAATTATTGCCTTTTATTAAACCTTATCATGGTCACTAGATATAACACAAAATGTAAACATGAAGGTAAAACTTATTCCTTACAGATAGTGAGACTAAAATAATACAAAACTATTTATCACTTCTGGTGCTTTAGTGGTTTATTGGAACCTTAAAGTACATTAACTGGTTTACAACTCCAGGAACTTTACATGAATCTACGACACTAACCGCATCAGACAGAGAGAGCATAACCAACTTTCAAAATTTGCTAATCATGCCAACATCGGGCATTTAGGTCTTTGCTGATCAGCAGGTTGCCCTCTGGGCAAGCAGCAGTAGTGGCAAAAACCGGTCTTCTTTTATGGATCATTTGATTATAATTTTACTTCTCATTTTAGGCTATGCTGTTTGACATTAAATCTGCCTGCTATTTATACCTATATACTGAACAAAAAACTCAACATACAGCTAACTGTTAGTAAAACACAAATAAAATGTCACTAATCTTCTGTAAAATATGTCCAACTGTTATAAGTTTAAAATATTGAATGCTACTTGATTTATTTTACAAAGTTGATTTTATTCTTAAATTTATTTATGTTTAATAATAGTGCATCTTTCTTACGGACCTATTTTGCTCTTAGAATGGTATTACAAAAGTGAAGTTCTGGCATAGATCTTTAATTGAATTTATTTAATATCTTATTATATCTTTAGTTGAATTTATTCTGTTTTAATTTGATGATAGGTCCCTAAGCTTTTTTTCTTTAATGGTTTTAAATGGCCTTAAAAGTACTTAATTTTCATGTGCAGAAATGTGTACAAACTCTGTTACCACGTGTAGTTTGACCTGGATTTGATTCAGCAAAATGAGGCACAATATTTTTGATCTTTTCCTTATATGTAACATGGTTAGCTAGTTTTCCTTAGAAAGTGTCCATGAAGGCATCTCATGAAGCAAATGGCCCTCATGGTACTTTGTCATTAACAAATAAAACAAATAAACCTAACCAAGAGTGAAAGCTGAAAGAATTAAAGTGTTATTTGGGAGAAGTTACTAATATTTATAGATATTTATTCATTAGTATTATTTCATTTTTGTAATACTTGTTTTTATTACCTTCTTCCACTCTTTTTATAACAATAGAATTCTGATAATCTGGTGACCTGGGACTGAGGTTTGCACGTACAGTACAAAGTCTGTAATCCAGACGTCCATTACCTGGAATGATCTATAATCCGGACCTCAAAGCCACAAACTTTATGCATGCGCATAAAGAATGTGCATACATTACGCATGCGCAAGTTGAAAGAAATGTTTAATAAGCTTTTTTTCAGGTCAAATTTGATACCCTTTAGATCATAATTGCTCTTTATTTCATAAATTGCAGTTTCATATTTTTAATTGTATAATTTCTGCATGCCATCTTACCAGATTTAAATTGATGATCTATAATCCCGAAAAACCCCTAATTTGGAATTGCCGAAGTTCCGATGAGTCCGGATTACAAACTTTGTACTGTATTAGTGAATTTTGGATTATAAGTCATATTTTTATGAATATTTTCCCCTCTCTGATCCATACATTAAATCTGGACTGTTCGAAGATTTATTGAATATAAAACTATTATATTTTCTTAATATAACTACATATGAAGAAAATAATGTTACTACTAGAGAAAAATCTAGTAAAGAGATAAAATAGTGAAATATTTTTAGGAAAGTGCTTATTTGACTAAACACACCGAAGAATTTTATTAGTTGCATAACCACCAATGAAAATACATTTAAAATAATTTTTATGCTCTTAAATGCACGAAAAATAAATAAGTGCACTGTTTACACAATGCCTGCATTAATTGTGCTGTTATGTTTGGTACATGCTTAATTAGTTAATAATGCTTCAAAAGTATTAAGACTGAAATGTTGGATTTACAGGAAGATTGAATTTGTGTTCTTAGCTCTGTTTTCCTTATTGTGTTTACCATTTTTACTACTAGAAAAGTTTTTACGCATACTGTTTCCAAGAATATGTCCCTATTTGTTGCTGATGTTGCTTGCAGAGAAACCTGCTACAAAGTGAATTTGAGTTTGAAACTTATGTCTGAAGAATTGTAGACAAATGTTTTAGACATGCCACGTAACTTTCAAGTTAATTAACTGCATAAATAAGGTCTACTCCATAAAGTTTTTGGTCGGTTGTATTATTACTGAAAGTCTGCAGTATTTAATATAATTTCAAGTTACAATCATAAACACTTTTCCTTACTATGTATATCTCAAATCTGTATTTAAATTTAATCACTCTTGAATCTCCATGCCATTTTTATCTTCTAAATGCAATACAATTTCTGCTATTAGAATTGTATTTTTTTCATACGTATTTGCAAATACATATATAACTTTTACAAAGTTCACTTTTAAAGTAAATATTTTTTAAACATAAGAGATAGCATATTACTGAAAGCTTTTAGCAATATGAACTACCTCATGAATAATTACTGAAGGGGATTCATTCATACTTGTTATAGTTCATAAACCTTGAGCATCAGTGAAATATTATGACTTTCGACAGCTTCATTCCACTTTTGATCAAGAAATTAGACCTTAAAAATGGAATCTTATTGTAGGATTTTAGAAGACTCAGTTTGAGATAAAGGAATTTGAACTGATTTTATTCCAAAAACTAAGTTTTAGTTTAAAAAATTACAAGCAAGTGACTTATTGATAGCTTAAATATTAATTTAACTGATTTAGGAGTAAAATAATGCCATTTATGTTATTGAGCATTCTAATTTCAGTAAAGAAGGTTAATAATTTTTTTTTAAATTCTGTATGTAGGGAAAGAATAATCATAATATTCGTTAGAAATGGAAAGTTTATCCTACTTCTGAAGCAAATTTTTGCTAATCGGTTAAAAATAAATAAGTTTAAAAAAAAATAAGCAATTAATGCTATAACAAATATTCTGGAATGTATTTTAATATTACAAATGTTCATGGTAGTTATGTGAGGTATAATTTGAATTGTTCATGAAACAATATAATTTAATCATATTTTCAGTTTAAGTACTTAATGTATAATGTAAATTATAGCTTTAATTTAGTAATAGTTGTTTTCAAATGAGGGACATCAGTGCTCTTTTATGTATTCATTAATTCCCAGTTATTTTGCCCATTGTATCAGGATGAGCATTTTTATTAGAAATGTCTTAATTTCCACTAAATTAAGTATTTTCGTTTTTAATTTAAACTTCAACAAAATCAAGAATATAAATTTATTAGAAATCTTCTAATTAAATAATAATAAATCCATAAAGTTAGAAACAGTTTTTATGTATAATTGTATTATTATCACCAGAACAAAAATTAAATAAAATATAAATAATTTAACATTTATATAATTAACTTTTTAAATGAATATAGTATGTGAAGCATTATGGGGTGTAATTGGTACTGTCTGATCTGATTTGGGCATAAACTGAACTGATTGGCAAATCCTATTTCTCTTAAACTTGTAAAATTGTAGTAAGTATGAAAAGACAGGATTCAGAAAATTTTAAATCTGAGATCAAGTAGTTAATGAAAGATTTGAGTCTGAGTACTTTAACCTAATTTGATCTTATACTGTTCTTGCACTATCAGTAATTATTAACCAGTGCTCAGTAATGGTTAATAATCGATTTAATTATTAACCATTACCACTGCTTTGCAAAACCTTACTTGGAGATTTAAACTGCCTTGTCTGCTAACTGATAAACAGATTTAGGTCATACTAAAATATTTACTGAAGTTTTATGATTGATTTTATACTTAAGTTGTTTTTCATGTTAAATGGTTTCCACTGTCTTAATGAATGATTATCCAGTTCCGAATAGCCACTAACTACTCCCAAGGTTCAGTTCTGAGCAGCCCAAAATAATAGTAATAATAATATTAATTAATTAGTAAATGAAGGTACTGTTCTGTTATTGGGACCAGATTCAGAAATGCATGTATATATATATGTATAGATGGATGGGTGTGTTCATGTATGCATGTATATATGTACGTATGTATATGGATATGTACATACACACATATACGCATATATATCCAAACATACATGCATTTCTGAAACCAGTCTGGAAGAGTTCCTAAATAAATAAATAAATAAATAGCCCATGTTTCCATTAGTGTTTTTAATCTTGAATATGAAATAATTCCTGGTGACGACGGCAATACCATTAGCAGATAGTTTGCCATCTGAAATTATATAAGAACTTTTCTCATTTTGTAGATCCATTTTTGCTATGTCCTTTTGCTCTATTTTTTCAGCTGTAACAGAGTTCTGTCATAGACTGTGTAGGGAAAGTCCATATACACTCAAACTTCATCTTGGGTTTGATTCTTGGCAAATAGAGCCCTTGACTGGTGGCCAAGTAATTAAAATTACTGAATATAAGTTGCATTCAATGGTCTCTAATTTTTGAGGCATTTTGTAGTTTGACTCAGTTTCAAACCCAGGTGAACAGGCTGGCTGCATAGTTGTTTTGTGACATAGTTGTGTTTGGTGGCATAGTTGCATGTTTAATAAGAATTCGACCTTGTCCAAGTCCTACGTAAAGGCATCCTTCCTCTTATATGGATAACCCTCATGTACTTCGCTATGTTCAAATAACTTAACATAATCTTGGCAAAGAGATTGGCTTCATAGGTCTTTTTTTTTTTCTAATTTTTCACACGTGTATATGTCAATTATATGGCTTAGGCAGCCCTGAAATAATTTCTTAATGCAGAAATGACAAGATAAAACTTTGGTATGACCAGTATGATAAGACCTAAGATTAAAACATTCAAAATCCTTTATTAAATGTCATTTTAGTGTTCCCAACCAAAGCAAAGAATGTTCTTCATATAAATGAGCATACATCATCATCTTGCACAAAATAGGCTATTTTATATTTCTTATGATATCATCTGCAATAATTGTATGATTAACAGAGATTAAAGTTACTTCAATAAATAAACCAGCCATTCAGCTGCATAAGAAACACTGAATTTTTGTTCATTGCAAATGAAGAATTGTACAATTTTATTATTTTAATCTGTATTCATTTAAATCAGTAATTATTTCTTTTTAATTTGTGAAACATTTTTGTGTATAGAAAATCATAAATTATGAAATGATTATGTAGGTTCTGATTTGGATGGTGATGAATATCATGTAATGTGGCTCAAGGACTTGATCTTTCCATCTGATAACAAAGAACCAATGCATTATGCAGTTCGAAAAGATAAGACACAGGATCGTAAAACTCCTATTACAGTGAGTTATATTTAATTTTTAGTGTAACTTTATTATCTTTCATTATTTTTAAGCATAAATTTGGAACATTTTTAATGTAAAATGGAAATTGGATCATTAATTTTTTCCTCATAAAGATGCTTCTGCATTTTGGGTTATGAATTCTTCAAGAAGCTATCGGATGTAATATTTGTTTATATTTATATGAAAAAAGCATTATTATTTCTTTTTACAGATAAAATAATGAGTGGTTGTACAATTTTTTAGCTCTTTTATATTCCTCATAAGATGCTGCATTATTTCTAATATAAAAACTACAGAAAACTTGATGAATGTTAATGAAGAACATAGATATAATAAATAAGTTTTTATAACTAAAATAAATTACAAACAATTAAATTATGGCTAAGTAACAAATATTAGAATGACATATAATTTACTGTTCAATATTGTGGTGGACAGAATAAATATTTTTAGTAAATCCAATAGTTTTTGCAGAAATTTATATTTATTTTATGTGGACCTACTTCAGCCTCTAAGTGTCTGAAAAGCCCATTTAAGTGAGTTCTACTGGGTTCATGTAGTCATTTAAAGTACTTAAAAGGCATAAGGTTTTTTTGGAAATGATTTTTAGTCTTTAAAAGTTCATAATTTCGGCCAAAATTGGCAAAAAGACCTCAATTTTGCTCATCTGTTATGTTTGTTTTTTTATAACTGCTATTTTGAGTGTGAATTAGCATTTTGAAGCAATACTTTTTGACAATGTATTGATGGATATGTATTTGATGAGTTAATACTTGAATTATTTCCTACTTCTTAATATAAATGCTTGATACTCAAGTTTTAGAAGCATGAGACCCTTCTTCAACTAAAACAATAAACATTTCAAAGTAAATTAATTTTTTTTTTTTTTTTTTTTTTTACGAATGAAAATCTCATAAAATATTACATCAAAAACAACTTTTATGCAGCATTAAATTTGGCGATTTATCAACATTTTGGTGATTTCAAAATTAGTTTGTATACAAAATTTTTTGTTTGGACATTTGCGAAATTTTGACATTTTTTTACAAGCATTGATATAAAAATAATGATATTAAATTATATTTAAGAAATAGCATTAAAATAAAACATTTTTATTTTCTTCTGCCATATTTTAAAGTGACATTACTTTCCATTTTGTTGACTTTAAAATATTTTGGTTCCAAAAAATAAACAAGATGAGTGTTATAAAGCACATTTCAAAACTTCTTAAGGGGCAAAAAATGCTACTGTAATTATTTAAAAATTAATGTCATTTGTCTTTTATTATTTTTTACCATGTTAAAAGTTTTTTTTTCCCATGTAATTGTTTCAGAACATTTAAATGTGTATTAGTTTTCTCTTGACAATTCACTTTACCTTTTCTGAATTTCTTTTCAAAAATCTTCTGGCTGTTTGCTCTTATAGAGTTAGGAGGGATAATTTTTCTTCCAGATTTTTCACACCTTGGAAGGTCTAAAGGCAAGATTTATAGTAGACCTACAATTTCTTGAAAAATGGGCTGAAATGAAAAGTGTCTTCATGGTATTCACAGCTCCGGTGCCAGTCTTGACCTTATATCATTTCATGTTTATTTTCAGTACTCATATTATTAAAGAAATAAAATTAGCAGTTTTTTTCTATGCATTTTAAATGCAAGAATTTTTTTTAAATAACAAAAACCTTTAAATCTGAAAATTCTAGAATGGAGGAGGAAATTCATCAAAAAGGAAATTGTTTTTATAAAGGGAAAGAAAATTATTCTTCAAATGTATATTGTTGATACATTAACAATTTAGAAGATGCAGCAGAGACTCACGGGAATATTTATTTGTTTATTAAAAGAAATGAACTTAGAAAAGGTCTTAAAGAGAAGGAAAGCAACATAAATTAGCTAAAGTATTTGGAAAATTTTTAATTAAAAAGACACATAAGCTTCTTTTTTTTTTTTTTTTTTTTTTTTTTTTTTTTTTTTTTTTTTTATGTTTTTGTTTCTACAAAACATGAAATTTGTGTAGCTTTAAATGTATACAGTCAAAAGTCCTTAATCCGGACTCTTCGGGACTTCGGCGATTCCGTTTTATCGATTTTTCCCAATTATAGATCATCAGTTTAAATCTGGTAAGATGACATGCAGAAATTATAAAACTAAAAATATGAAACCGTAATTTATGAAATAAAGAACAATTATGATCTAAAGGGTATCAAAATTTACAAAAAAAAAAGCTTAATATTTATTTGTTTACTTTATTAAACATTTCTTTCAATGTAAGTTGTTTAAGTTGCTTCCTTTTATGTGATAATACTTTCTGTTTAATTCTATAATCAGACATAATTTCTTGTTCAGTTACAAAGTTCTGCTGTTCATATCCTATAATTGCTGTGTCAAGAATACCGACTAATTTGTCAATCGAAATTTTTTCGTTTTCAATAACCTCTGTGTCACTTTCTTCACTATCGGAAGCGAATTATAATGACGAGGAATTTTATTTAAATCATATCAAAGACGGAGTACATCGAGATGAAATACTGCATTTAATAAGAAATTATAAGCCAAATAAAATAAAAACATCTGCTCTGAAGATAAGGATAGTGCTGACAGATCAACTTCCAATTCATTGCGCGCCGGGGGCCGCCCCCTTGCCGCAGAGCAGCGTGAAATTGATAAACGGATTTCGGAATGGTTAGAGAAACAAAGAATATGCCTTTATCCATTTTTTGAAGCAATTCCACTTTTTGTTTGATGGACATCGAAATATACTTTCGCTTTGTAGATCCTTTGGAAGCTCCAGCATCAGAAATTCTATTTGACATAATCGAAAGTTCAAGCTTACTTTTATAGAATTGCTCTAACAGTCTGCAAAAAATAATAAGCCGGATCCATTTCGAAGATTAAGGAACAATGCAATCTGCAACATTAACTGAAGTAGATAATTAGATAATTTTAGCTTATACCGTCCGTTATACATTAAATGCGCACACGTAAACGTATTATGCGCATGCGTAAACACCTATACACATGCGTCAACGTGACCCATGCGCAGAAAGTTTGTAGCTTTGAGGTCCAGATTATAGATCATTCCGGATTATGGGTGTCCGAATTAACGACTTTTGACTGTAGTTAGACTTATGTCATTTTAGAATTAATATCATAAGTTATAGCTGCTATAAAATGTTCTTAGTTCTTTCTTGATATTTTTTTAGAAATAAAAGAAAAATTGTAATTGTAACCATGTAAATCTGTTATGACTAAGATTATCTAACTATGTAGTTTAATTATTTGTAACTAACTGTTCATCCTTAGAAGTTATATATGCATGTTAAGGTGATCTCTTTACCTTAATTCTTATTGTGTATGCAAAATAAACATGAAATTGTAAAAATGAACATACAAATTTATTTCTTTACAGCTAATGAGACTTAAAAATAATACAAAACAACTTATCATCTCTTATACTTTGGCTTATTGGAACTTTATATTAAATAATGTATATTAATTGAGTTACAACATAAGCAAATCTACATGGTGCCATGACACTAAATGGGCCAGGCAAACTTACAACACTTCACCAATATCAGGCATTTACGTCTATTCTGATCAGTGGCTCTTTATCTCTAAGCAAGCAATTGCGGTGGCAACAGCAAAGCTTCTGTTATTAGCCATGCTGATTATTATTTTATTTCACAGTTGAACTTATGCCACTTGACATAAAATTTGCATATACCTCTGGACTGAGCAAATATGCGATGAAATGAATGATTTCTAATCCGGATAATTATAAGTGTAAAATATAAATATTTTGAGAAATTTTATAATTTTATGCTAATTACTTGAAACAAGTTGTGAAGTTAATGTTATTTTTGAATATTTTTTGTAATTAAGCTAAATATTAGATTATGTTTAATAATAATGTATCCTATTTACAAATTTTTTTATTCTTGTAATTTACAAAAGTGAAGTTCAGGTTTAGATAATTGCTTTAGTTTATTCAGTTCCTATTTTCTTGATAGATCCTTAATTTTTTTCATTGCTGGTCCTTAATTTCCATGTGCTGAAGTGTGTATGGTTTTGAACATTGACAACTTATTCTGGAACATTGACCAGAACATTGAACATTCTGGAACATTGACAACTTATTTCATTTTCTGCTTTTATTCACTTTTAGGTTATCTATAATTGATAACATTTTTGCTAAATTTCTTTTTTTGCATTCTCTAAGATTGTCAGGGTTATTATGCTACCTGGAAAACCGGAAGAAGTCGGAGAATTTAAATATTTTAGTCAAATTCTGGAAAAGTTGGGTAATTTCATATGGCAGTCTCCAAAAGAGTAAATTTTACGGCAACATTGGGAGCGATCACTTTCTTGGCAAATTATGTATCGCATGAGCATCATTTGAGCAGCTAGCGTAGAGCCAAGTTTCACAGCTCCAATCAAATTGTCTTTTAAAAAGACAAAGCAAGTTTCCAGGAACTTTGGTTTCCTGTAACCTCAAGAATCGAGAGACTTTAATGAGGGTATGCAGTGCCTGTTGAACTAAAGAAAATATCTACCCATTCTTGTCTAAAGCAAAATCAGTTTACATGGGTTTGGGCAACATGATGATGAGCTGTAAACGGGTCATTTTGGTGTTGGCAACAAAATCGTGCCAATGCCGAAGCGTATATTAGGATTTTAGTGCAAATTATTTTTTATTCTTTCTCCCCCTTTTTAATAAATGCCATAGTTGTCATTTTGTAGTAAAATAAAAAAAATAATCAGTCATCTAGGCTAACTATTTAACCCTTTGGGTACATTTGACAAGTGAGACTCGTCATCTGCTTACTTGGACGAAGTTATGGTGGACGAGTATATAAATATTTCTATTTTGTTTCATTTATATATTTATTTATATTTTGTAACTAAAATATATTTATATAATTATTTTATAACTCAAAAATATATTTATATTGTCAATATAAGTATATTCCAAATAAAATGTGTTACTTTTACATATTAATCCATATAGCGACAAATTAAATCCATCCCATGGGCATAAAAAATCTTCAAATAATTCAGTACTCAAAGGGTTAATATAACTACATTCACCAAAATGTCATTGATTATTGTAATTCAATTTTTAAGTAATTAACCTTATTTTGATGTTATTTGTATCATTTAATGTGGTTTCTTCCCTTTGAATTTATTTATGATTAATTAATAACACTTTCAAATTTCAGGCAGTTTTCTCTTGCATAATCCTGAAACTAATTCTAGCAGTATGATGACATACTATCACGAAATTTAATGCACTTATTTTTTGCTTATGTATGCTGCTAAATAAATATAAAATACTTGAATTTATTTTAAAATATCATTAAATAGATTTCTTTTTCTCATTTAGTTGCAAAACATCTGCAAAAAAAGACATTTTTTTTACTGTATTAATAATTATATTCCTTTTGGGTTTAGTACTAACTACTGGTGTTGATGTATCATATAGATGTGTATAATCCCATATAGCATTTTCTAGATCTTTTTCCAGTGATTTCATATTCTTAATGTTTAATTTTACAGCCTGCGGATGAATTGGATCATTTGTGTGAATACATTATGAATGATAAAGTTGGCCTTGTTGCAAATGCTCATCTAGCCTTTGCAGATTACCTGAATGAAGGCATTTTTAGTAAAACTTGCCTGCATATAGCCAAACTTTATTCCTTGTGTCTAGACTTTCCAAAATCTGGTAAAGCAGTACCGAATACTAAGGATGTCAAAGTTTCTAAATATCCTGATTTTATGGAAAAATTACAACAAAAAGACTCCTACTTATCAAAAAAGGCCCTTGGTTTTTTGTATCGAAATTGCAAACGTTTGGAATTAGGACTGGAAAATGAAAAGCATGAAATTGACTATAGGCTTGATCAAGATTTAAAGCATCAGTCATGGAAAAATTACGAAAAAAATGCTGTAAGAATGTTAAAAAAATATTCAAGAAAAATAGAGCATTTGTTACAAATATATTCATTTGAAAATGAAGGAGAACTGCTTTCTGGTGCAATTTTAAATCCTCCACACCATCTTGAAAATAGACATGATTTAAATAACTTAGTAGCTCTTTTGGAATTTGAAATACCACGAATGTTCCGAAGCTTTCAGAATCAATTTTTTTCAGAGTTTGGTGGCAAACCAAAAGATAATTTTACGGATAAGATGTTTCAAAAGGCCAGTGCTTGGTACATGGTTACTTATAGTAGTTCAACCAAAAATAGTTCTCATTTCTTTGGCTTGCCATGGGCAGTAGCTGATGTATTAATTGCATTGAAAATTAAAAACAAAAAGTGCAGTCAAGAAGAATATAAAAAATATAACTCAAAATCCCTTCTTGAAGAAATTGTAGATAAAAGTGTTGCAAAGCATTTGCCTGAGCTTACTGAGAATTGTGAAGATTTGTATATTTATGAAGCTAGATATGATTTATTAGATGTTGCTTATAATATATTGAAAAAATGGCTGGAAAACCAAAAAGAATACTTTTCGGATTACGATTTGAAAGAATTTCAAAAATATATAAGCAAAGAATTTGGAGTAGTTACTTCTGAATTACTTAATTGTGACGTTAGTTATATTAAAAGATTAAAGAAAAGGAAAGACATTAAAAAAGCAATATCTCCTTGTTACTATGTAATTGAAGCTTTGCTTAAAATATCAGAGAAAGGTAGTCAGTGTTTCGAAAACACTTGTTCAATCACACAACAAGAACTAGCTTTGGTTTCTTGGATTACTCTTATAAAATTAGCTTGCACATACAATCCACAGTATTTAGGAATTCCAGATGAAAAGGGGCATTATGCTGATATGGTATTTTATTCTCCTCAAGATGGAATTATTGATACTATTCAGCTTCCTTTATTTGATAAACATAATAAACAAAATATGAAATTCAGTAAGAAAATTGTTCAGGATGAAACAGCTGTGATAGATTATTTAAAGCAGCAGACAAACCTACGAGAAATTACATATAGGTATGTGAGGCTTAATGATGCTCGGTATTATGTAAAATTTACAGTAAAAGGTACAAGATTTGCAATTGAAAAGCTGAAAGACATTGTGGTTTTAGATAATTTCTATCAAAGTGTTATTAAAAACTCTGAATTGTAATATGGGCTAAATACCCTAGTGCATCATACTATAGAATAGTAGCTTCTTAAAGAAATCAAAATGTTTTGTTGCTTTAGGTCTGTCTATAAAATTGTATATTTCACACAAATCAAAATTTTGTCCTTTTTATATGCATTTCTAGACTGTTTTGCTTCATATTACTCAATACCTTTTGTCATTATAAAAAGTAACTACTTAATTGAGATCAAATAATTTTATTCCTCATTATTTTAGTTTGTTACAATCCTACTTACAACCAAGTGCCAAAAAATTAATTTTTGTAATTAAAGAGAGAAAAATATGTGGTTGTATATATATTTTTGATGCTGTGAAGCTTGTGTGTTTAAAAGTTGTTTGAATTTTTAAAATTTTTAATAAATAAATATTTTTTTAATATTGAGTGTTATATATTTGGCTGCATTTATATTTCTGTTATGTTATATATAATATAGAACATTTCTTCTCACTTTTTTATTTCTTCCATAAAAGAATTGAAAATTTTGCTAAACAATTAAATGAACAGGTAAGCAAAACAGAAAGAATTTATTACAGCCCTTAGGAAATGTTATTATACAAAACATAAGGCTTCTTTGTTTTTACTTCCGTTACTGTAATTAGATTACAAAATATCTAGTTGTAACGAAAGTTTTCATTAAAAAACAATCTTAATAAAGTTAGGAAGAAAACCTGAAACCAGTACCTTTAGTCCGAGCAGTAATCACCACATGCTGATTTTCTGCCAGCGTTTTGGTAGTTTTTCATTCGGCTGAGAAATTTGGTGACCACAAGTTCAAAAATAGATCAACCTCATTTCGGACATCTTGTGCAGAATTGAAGATAGCACCAGCAAGATGTAGTTGCAGGTGTGAAAGAAAGTAGAAGAAGTTCAAAGGAGCGATATTGGAGCTATATGGTGGGTATTGTAAAAGATCCCTTTCCAGTCCATACAGAGTCCAGGCGGTGAATGCATACATGTGTGGTCTTGCATTATCTTAATGGATTGGTGTTGGTGTATTTAATTATGGCAAAGCACACTAGGGCTATTTGCCTAGGGAGGGATGCCTTCGTAGAGGACTTTTTAAGGGAAACTGGCTCGTATACACATTACACATGGAGAAAACCACGAAAACGCCCATACAGCCAGCCCATTCTTGGGATTCGAACCTCGGACCGAACTACCAGTGTTCAGCGACTTTACCGCTCGGCCGCTGGTGGGCCTATTGTGACTTAGGGCTTTGTCACTTGTGAAGTTATCTTCAATGGAATCATTCACCTTTTTGCACTGGAACTCAGTTCAGTGGTTTCCCTTGATAGCTGTGTCAACATGGACTAGCATCTCACTGTATGCCTGACTGTTGAGGGTTTTACTTTTTTCCAGATACTCGTGAATAACTACGACAATCCCACCAGATACAAAGCATGAACTTTTTTTGTTAGTCAAATTGTGCTTTGGGACGCTGCTGACAAGCTCACTGGGCGTAGATCAACTCCTTTTTCGAGTTGTGTTGTTGAAGTAAATCCACTTTTCATCACAAGTAATCGATGCCGCCGCTAAAGGAATGAAATGGCCGCCTTTGCCCACATAAGTTTTCGGCCTTGCCCCGATCCCTCCCCCTTTTTAAGTACAAAATGATAGATCTTTGGAATGGAATACAATTTATGTAAATTTCTACCTTTTTCCAAAGAATTTAATTTTTCAGCAAATTTGCTTTAAAAAAAAAAAAAATTTTTTTTTTTTTTTTTTTTTTTTTTTTTTTTTTTTTTTTTTTTTTTTCATTATAAAACTTTAAAAGTATGTATTAATAAAAAATTAATTTTTAAGAAATCACCAAATCATAAATCGCAATCGAAAACAATTTTTAAAATTTTTAAGCGCGACAGGCAGCGCAACCAGATTTTTCAGATTTAGTTTCACACCAGGGCCGCCGCTAGGGTGATGGCCGCCTGTGTGCCCACATAATTTTCGCCGCCCCGCCCCCCCTCCTCTAGAGTACAAAATGAAGATCGTTGGAATGGAATACAATTTATGTAAATTTCTACGGTTTTCCAAAGAATAATTTTTCAGCAAATTTGTCTTAAAAATATTTGTTTTCAATTATAAAACTTCAAAACTCAATGTCTTAATATAAAATAGAGATAATTTTTAACGAAATCGTTTTAAAAATATAAAGAAAAATTAGTAAAATTGTGGGAACTAAATCAAACGGGTTTTTAAAAAAAACTTACCTTATAATGGTGAAAAAAAGAACCTGGGAGCTTTAAAAACACTTCTCAAATTGTTTTTAGGATAAAAGTTAAAATTGCACTCTCCGAGATTTTGTTTCCAAAAATTTTTTTAACACACTATTAAGGTCTATGGTATCGCACAATTCGTGTTCAATAGAAAGAGTTGCCAAAGCCGATAATCTTTCCTGACTCATGGATGATCTAAGATAGTTTTTTATCAACTTGAGCTTGGAGAATGAACGTTCTCCAGTTGCAACAGTGACCGGTAAGATCAAGAAAATTCTAATTAGTACGGTTAAATTGGGAAAAAATGACGATAAATTATTTTCTAGTATGTATTCAAGAATTCCAATTGTATTCATATTAGTTTTAAGATGGGGTTGCATAGCTTTAATTTCTTCGAATAATTCCGCCCCGTTAATGTCGCTATGATTTAGCTTCTTGTCTGTCAAGGCTAGTTCCGCTTCGGCACAGTGGTCTGTTCCGCTTCGACACAGTTCATTGTCTTTAAGGTCGCCATATTCGGGTATATTATATAAAATTTTAAAGATGTTAATATGTTGGTATAATAATTGAAATCTCTCATTTATAGCCCCAATTGTTGCATCCAAAATTTTAAAGTAAAAGTTGACTTTAAAAGAACTCTCTGGATCTAAAATGCTTTCATTCTCGTGTTCGTAATCAAAATTTCTTTTTTTCTTCTTCCAATGCGTTTTTGCTGCTGGATGAAGAAATTCTGCTTCTAGTTCAACTTCGGCAGCAATTTGTTTTGCAGCATCCATAAATATTTTGAAATGTTCGTCACATCTTATTTCAACAAAGTAGTCTTTTAAATTTTCTAGGGCTTCGGCTGAAGATTTAATGTTTAATTTTGGACTTTGTAAAAGTTTACTCACTACGTTGACTTTATTAAGAATTGCATGCCAGATTATTGTTGAAAATATAAATTTAAAGGTACTGATTTTTTTACCCAGTGACTTTGCCAAAGTTCTCCTAGTTATATCCCTAGTTGCATCATCTTTTATTCTTGCTCAGAGCATCATATATTTCACATCTAATTGAGCTTGTTTTAATGTGGTGTGATTATGCTTCTATACAGTACATTTCCCATTTCTTGTATCACAATGATAATGGCCTTTTCAATGTAAGTTTCGGAATATGTCGCTAATAAATATACTCCATCTATAATTTGATGATGCTGAGAAGTAAACGTACAATTTACCTGAATTAAGTAAAAAAAAAAGAACTGTTTCGAAGCTTACTTTAGCAGCGTCTGTTCACAACAAGATTTAAACTGTGAGCTATACAAGGAATAAAAAATGTACGGGGACAAGCGTCCAAAATTTTTTTCTGTAGTCCTCCTCCTCGCATATTAGCCCCATTGTCATAACCTTGTCCACGTAAATTATTCATATCCAGTTTTAGCTCTTGAAGATTTTTTACTATAAATTCATATAATCCTTAACCAGTTGTATCTGTAATTGGGCAGAATCCCAAGAAATGTTCATAAATCTTAACTGGTGGGACGCAAGGAACACATCGAATTATAACAGTTATTTGTTCAGTATGTGAAATATCTGGGGTACAATCTAAAATTATAGAAAAATATTTTGCCTCTCGTATTCTGTCTAATATTTGTTCTTGTATAGTTGTTGCCAATAACTTAATCATTTCGTTTTGGTGTTCCCAACCTAGATAGTGAGGCGCATTTTTGTAATTTTTGGATTGTATTCTACGTAAATGTTCGGAAAGAACTGCGTCAAATTTGGAAATCATTTGAGTCAATTGAAGGAAATTTCCATTATCTGGCTGAAACAGTTTTTGTGGAACCCCTAAAGGCCAAGCACTGACGAGATAAATATCTGACAATAAGCATCAATCTTTCAATAACGGCACGCCAATGATTTTTTTCCAGTTCGTATAATCGCTGATTGGACGAGTCGATTGTCGTACCCTTTTTCGGTGCTACACTCAAATCATCATGCATTTGTTTAGTATATTTAATGTGGATTAATCTGCTCTCATGCCTTTTCAAGATTAAAGATAACTGTTGCCAATCGTTCACTCCTTCTTTACCATATATACGCTCCTTTTTCTCTGTGACATCGGTGCAAAATAGTTTACATGGAGCACAGAAAACACTATTTAAAGATAAAGAATATAATAACCAAGGACGGTGGATTTTTTCACCATTGCTTAAAGTACGGTAAAAATATGACTCTGAAAATTTTTTATTTTGCTCATCTCTGGGAAATGCTATGTTTTGAACTTGACTTGGGAAATTTTCAATTATATATTGTACCTGACTGTAGGTTAGGTTTATAGGCCATTTACCAGGATCGTCAGAAACTAGGCAAAGAGCGTCGTCTTTGTCTTAAAGATTTAAAAGTAGTGTCCATTCCTTTTCCTTCTTTTCCCTATTCTTCCCTTTTTCTCTTTTTCGTGATTATCAACATCATGATTTTTTTCAGTAAATGAAATGTCTTTCCCTGCTTCCCAGCACACTACAGATTCATCTCTTAGGCACCCGGTACCCACAGAACACTAAAATTTACAATATTTGTCATTATTACACTTGAAATTTCTGAATTGTCACTTATATATATTATTTCCGTTTTCAAATATTTTTCTAAGGCGCTTTGTTTTGCTGTTCTTCAAGCCGTTTTTTTTTTAAAATGACACATTAGGGAAAAATTTGATCTACTTTGTTTACATAACAGCTTCAAACCTTTTCCTAATACACCAGAGACAGAACTCAATAAACCCCCCCTCACAGCGACCTTTCCCTTTAAGAAAAGCAATAAATTTCTGGAAGTTTGTTTAGGAACGCCTAAATTTCTTGCCATGCCATTGTATTTAGTGTATTGTTATCGATGCTTGCAGTTAGTTATCGTCTCAGGAAGGAAAATTTGTGTTCTTAAATGTGGCGTTAAGTGACAATGAGTACAATAAGAGTGAAATACTGTGATCAACTGCTCAAGCACGTCCTATACATCGTCTTCCCACAGTATCCAACATGGAGGTAGGAAGTTAGATGGAGTGGCCCTAAACCAGTTTCCCCATACCCTGCTTTGATGCACTGGCGATCTCTTCTTTGGTGACCAAAACATTGGGTAATTTACCATTGAGTTCAATGGTTTTGACATGATCGGATGTAAAT